TCCGCAGCAGGAACGGCCCCGCGCTCGGAGCAGGGCACACGGCAGCTGCTCCCGCAGGACAAGCTCCAAAGGAGCCTATCGAGCTAAACAGGGCTGGTTTTGACACGTGTTTTTTACGCTCAGGAAGACTGCGCTACGTCAGCCGTGCTCGGATCCCGCTAAAATTCCCAACTTCTGGAGGGTCCTCACCTGGAAGAACTGCAGCTGCTTCTCTTGGCTCCAGAAAAAGGGGTGCAGGAGGACCACGGGCGCCGACGGCCGCGTCTGGGGCTCGCTGCTGATCATGGCTGCAATCAGCTCCCTCGCAACAACCTTGTCTTGGATGCAAAACAAATGAAATGGAAAACTAGTGCCCCTGAGGAGGACAGGGAGCAGCACACGGGTTGGTTCGGGGCTCTTGCTGCCAGCCATGGCGCACAGTCACCCCAAGAACTGCAGAACTGCAGGAAAATGAACCCAAACTTCTATTATTTCTCACCACCCAAACCCACCATTAACTCCTCTCCCTCTGCATGAGCTGGGGCAATGATGAGTGGGGAAGGACTCTTACCATGAGCCTCTTCCTGCAGACAGGTCAGTTGGAAGGTGCCTGCCAGGATGTTGGCCTGTCGCCGCAGGCTGTCCCCGAACGGGTGTTTTCCTCCTGACACCACGTAGTAGAAGATGCAGCCAGCCGAGAAGATGTCCACAGCACAGGTCTGCAAAACGAGCAGGGAGCTGGGACCCTCGCAGCAAGGGCTGTGGAAGTGATTTTACCTTCCCACTTTCCATTCTTATACATGAACCCTTGGTTGCTGGCTGAAGCTTTAGCTAGGAAATTAGAGACAGCACTTTAAGAGCCCTCGTTGGTAAATGCAAAATTGCTGATAAATGCTGCTATTGCACAAGGGCTCCTTCCTTCTTCCTGACTTCTCTGCCAGATGAACACCTGAGAGCTGACAGTGTCTTAAAAATCCACACAAACTAATCCCAGCCTGAGCAATATGAGGCACATTGCCAACCCCAGCCCAGCATTTGGCCTCAGCAGAGACAGGATACCCCGAGCAGGGGGGTAACCTTCGCAGCCAGCCAGTTCCCACAGTCCCCTCCACCCGCCCCGTCCCAAATTTCCAAGTGCTCCAGCCCAATGGGAAGACCTGCACTGGACACATCTGGCCCCTATCCCAGGGATCCAGCTTTTACTGAGCTCCATGGGCTTTTGCAGGCACATCCGAGCAGATGTGACCCTGCCCCAGCTCTGCCAGGCCACCGCGCTTGGGACTCCTTGTGCCAGGAACGGCTGTGCCCACAAGGGACAGGACAGCAATAAGAAACCGCTGATTACAGAGAGCCTGGTGGTGGCTACTCCTGTTCTGCATTTGGACCGGCTTCTAGTCTTACGGCTTTTGTCTTAGGGATTCTAGCGGCACGGCAGGAGGCTGGGGTGGGTACGAGGACTCTGCAAGGCCAAGGCCAGCGGGCACTGGGCAGGACGGGCGCGGGCGGCCGCGGCTCACGCACGGGATTCTCCTTCGGGGCCTCCTGCAGCAGCTCGGGCGCGATCCAGCCCTCGGTGCCCGGGATCCCGGAGCGGAGGCTGAAGCTGTGTCGTCCCCCATGAAGCTTCTTGCACAGGCCGAAGTCGGAGATGACGGCTCGGATCTGCCCGTGACTATTGGGGACGGAGATGAGGATATTGCAGGGCTTCAGGTCGCGATGAACTGAAAGAGGCAGTTTGCAACGTTACCTGCAGAGCGGACCCTGCGGCGTGAAGGCCAGAGATCTCCACGCCTGGCAGCTATTGCCTTGAATCCCCCAGCACAAAACCCCTGGGTTGACCTCAGGAGCTCCCTAAAGATGGATTTGCTGGGCTGAACGCATTGCCCCACGCTCCAGACGTGTGAGTGGAAGCAGGGACGCTGACCTCTTACCGATGTTCAGAGAGTGCAGGTGTGCCAGGCCTGACATGGTCTGACGCAGGACAGACACCGGGTCCAGGCTCCGGCGGTCGAAGCTGGGGCTCTCCACGTACTGGAAGCAGAGAGGGGTGGAGATACGAACTGAGAGCTGCTCTCTGGGAGCCTCAAGCCAGGCTCAGCAGCAGAGACCTCTCCCCAGGCAGATGGAGCTGGAAGCAGAACCGCTTTCAGCTCTCCAAGTCCAGTCAGAGGCCACCTGTGCCCAAGGCTAACTCGTCACGTCCACGTCCACCAGCTGGCATACGTTCCCTCTGCTCCAAGCCTTGCTCCTCAGACCTCCACAGCTTCAGCAATGCTCCTGCTTTACTGTTCTAATCCCAACTTGCTCTCACTTCTCAGCTATGCTGGGGAAGGGACTCAGCTGGAGACCCAATTCAGATTAACACAGTTGTGTGCCCTGCATCTCCAAAGCACCTTGCAGCCTGTCCATGCAAGATCTAACCACCGTTCCCTCTGACTCGCAAACAGGCACAGAGCAGAGCACGCCAGGAACCTCAAACAGGGCCCCAAACGCAGGGCCCGTGGCTGAGAACCCTGCTCTCCTCTGAGCAGAGAGGACTCTGCTCCTGCATGAATATTGCAGGAAGGCCCTCACTAGTGGGACACACAAAACTGGATGCATTCCCCTTGGGACTCCCTGCAAACACAGGGCTGGAGACAGAGGGGTTAATTAACAGCTACCCAGCGATGGCTGCACCTTGATGGCCCTTGCAGGGGATGGGGTTGTGGGCTCACCTCCTGCAGCGTGGCAGAGCAGAGCTCAATGGCGATATAGTGGAACTGCTTGTCCTTCTCGGTGCAGAAATACCGCACGACATGGGGATGCTCGTCCGACTCCCGGAGCAGCTGGACCTCACGGTCCACGAGATGGAAACACTCGGGCAGCAGCCGCTTCACAGCCACGTTCCGGCCGTCAAACTGTCCCCTGCGTGCGGAGATGACAGCAGTGTCCACGTACAGCCCTCGCCGGATACGGCAGGGACAGCCCTGCGGATTTACAGCCTAGCAAGGCTCTGCACAATGCCAGAAACCAAGAAGGAGAACTTGGAAACCCACCCACAAAAACCTCTGACCCACCTGGATCAAAGCAGGGAAGAAACAGGCCTTGCTGCTATAACTGTGGCTCCCAGGAGGACACAGAGAGAAGATTCTCTTCATCTGAGCCAGGCCTGGCCTTAGGAAAAGGGAGGGCGCCCCAGGCTGCTACTCACCTGAAGACGAAGGTTCCTCCAGCTCCATGGCCCAGTACATCCTTGGGGTTAAAAGAAATTTTCCCAATCGTAATCATGTCTGGTCTTGCATCTGCAGAGGAAGACTGATGTCACCAGCCATCCTTCAGCCTCTGACTATTAATGTCATACCAAGCACATCCAGTTCTTTTACCACCTGGTCCTTTCCTGGGCACTGCTCTTCCTACAACTGCTTTTGTAGCCCATGTTTATCCACGTCTTGCACCCACTCCCCCTCAGTTGAGGTTGCAGCCCTCTTATCTCTCCTCCTACCCTGGATGACAACTGTGCCACCTCTTCCCAGTCTCTGTGTGCCTCAAAATCTTGGATTTATTTTTCTGAGAGTTCCCCTTCCAAACTGTGGAGAAGGACGCGGACATCCCCACAGTCAAGGTGTTTCTGGCCCGGACAGAGCGCCCCGTGCACCTTTCCTCCCCTCAGCAGCACACACCTTCTGCAGCGCCCAGGACAGCTGGATCCTGGCCGGCCACCCCGTTCGCCAGGTCCTCCGAGTGGGCCCTTCGCTGGGTCACCCCCAGCTCCCCCGGCTCTGCAGGGACACCCTCCGCAGAGACCCGGCCCGGGAACAGCATCTCCTGTTGCTGCTGCAGGAGCTGGATCTGCTTCTCCAGCTGCTGCTGCTGCACCTCGTGCTGCTTTTGCAGTTTCTGGGACACAAACAACAGAAATATCTCAGCTCCTCCCGTCCCAGCAGGTGAGAACCCAGCACAGCTTAGACACAAGCAGAACTCATTGGCCTTCTTTTCCCTGCCCTGCTGCTCCTCACAACACAGCGTTGCTTGTGCCACAGAGACAAGAAAGAAGCAAAAGGTTTGCAGCCCCTCAAGCAGTGGCATTTCTGCAGCAGGCGGTTCCTTTGCCAGCCAGAGAAGAAGGGACAAGCACTCACCATCAGGAGCAGGAAGAGGACGCCCCCGCCCAGCAGGGCAGTGCTGACTGCTGCCATCACCATGTCCCAGCTGCTGGCCTCGGGATAGACCTCGGTGGCATCTGGCTGGAGCTCCCCGTCGCTGCTGCGCACGGCCGGCCCTTCCGCGCTGCCCACGCTCAGATACTGCAACACAGCCCGACACCGGCTCGCACCAGCGGCACCCCCGGGCTCCTGGTGCTCGCGCTCCTGCCCGGCAGTTCTGCTGCATCAGCTCTGCCCACAGGACCCCTCTTCATGCCCGTTCACACACTGGGACATGTCCCCCCAGCACTGTGCAAGGCCCCCTGCTCCGGAGCAGAGACCCAGCACAGCTCCAGCACTCACGTCATCAAACACAGCCCTGGCGGAAGAGCTCTTGGGAATGATGGTTTCCGTTGTCTTCCTCAGGTTCTCTGGAAAGGCTCTTAGCATCGTGGTATGGACCACAGGAGGCAGCTCGTGGTGCCCTGCGGTGGGAGGAAAAAGTGAGAACTGTCAGCTGACCTACGGGCACCAGAGAGACCAGCGTCTGGTCACCTCTGCAGTGCCAAAGCGGGCACTTAACAGCTTTGGCTCTCAGGGAGAAAGGGTGTCCATTTTGCTGGGAAATGTGACACACGCCAGAGCTCCATCCCTGGAGACAGGGGCCTTGGGGCAGCAGTAGCCGGTGCAGAATGGCCTGGGACAAGGTTGTCTCCTCTCAGCACGCAGTGGAGGGCCTGGCCCTGCTGTTTGTGCCTCCCCAGACAACTACCCTGAGAGCAGCTTTTCAAGCCCCACGGCACGTCCTGCCGTCATACACGAGTGGTCACGGAGCGAGTGAATCCACTGCGTGCACAACTCAACAGGCCACGTCGCATCCATGAGCACAGGTCATCGTGAGCCTCATTTCAAAGCCCACCCGCACAGGCCGCAGCCCGTTCCAGGGAAAGCTCAGGGACATGCCGGAATGAAACCCACGCCAGAATGACCGTGTGCGGAGGGGGGATCACAGCCTCAATCCTTTCTGAAGCACTGGGCAAAGCAGTTAACCCCGCTACGCCAAGAACCCCCGCGCTTCCTCCCACTAGGACCGTTGTGCGCGCCGGGCGCAGGGACCGCGGCGCCCGCCGCGGCCCGCACCTATGAGGAGCCACTGGTTGCGCAGCGCCGCGACGCTGCCCTGCGGGTACTTGACGGCCGTGCTGGGCGTGATCTCGCACTCGCCGGACTCGCTCACGGTCACGTCCTCCGTGGTGGGGCCGTCGATCCTGGCCAGCGTGACCCCCCGCGGCTGCGGGGATCGCACGGTTACCGGGGCGGGAGTCAGGACGAGGCGCTCCCCGCTCGCCGGACGGGCGCGTTGGCGGCGGGGGACACTCCCCACCAGCGCCACGCTGCCGGGCACCAGGGAGGTCACGGCATAGAAGGTGGTCGCGTGCTTCCCCACGTAGAGCGTCGGCCTGCAACGCCGGGACGCAGCATCACTGGAGGCGGCCTGTGTTTGGAGCCGGGGAGCACCGAGCCGCGGAAACCATGGGAAATGGACACCATGCTGGTGTCACAGCCGGGAGCCACGAACATTCCACACCCCGAGCCTGCCCCGCTCAGGCCCGCGATGGCTGTAAAAGCCAGTGCTCTGCCCCGGGTTAAACCCCAGCCCTCGTGACTGTCCCGGTGCCAGACTGCAGCTGCCAGCCCCTCCTGCCGGCCTCAAGCCACCCCCCGGGACCAGAGGGCTTCCCGCTCCTGTCCGCCCTGCTCCGCGGGCTCCCGCGCCACGTACAGCAGCTGGGTCTTGCTGCTGCTGAAGTCCTTCATCGACTGGTGGTTCCACCTGACGAGGCGGATGTCCTGGGAGTGGAAGGTCAGGTAGCGCAGCGTCTCCATGGCCACGTTGAGGTGGGGGACGCGCTGGAGGCTGTCCTGGTGCCACACGTAGATGCCCACGACGGGAGAGCCGTAGTTCTGCGCCCACAGCACCTCCCCGCTTTCCTTGTCCAGCGTCACCACCAGGCCGTCTCCGCTTGAGGCAAAGTGGGCCATTTCTAGCCAGAGACACAAGGCGGGGGGTACAGCAGCCTGTGGGGCACTGTCCCACTCTGTCCCCATGTCGAGCTGTGGCTCTCGGCCAGGCCAGCGCTGCTCTTGGATGCTCTGCTCACCCCACAGCTCTTGCTGGACGGGTGCCACACAACTCCCTGCACCACCGTGAACACCTCACCAAAGGCCCAGAGCGGGCGATCCCGTCCCCATCCCACAGCTCCTCTGCATCCCCAGGGATGTCTTCCAAGGGATACAGGTGACTATGCTCAAACTGCAGAGCGCCGGCCACATCTGAGAGGATGCGCGTCCTATGTCTGTGCCCCCTTGCTCATCCCACAGCTGTGTCCCCTGCTCATCCCATGGCTATGTCCCCACTGCTGGCCCTTTTCCGCAGCACAGCCTGGCCCTGGATCTGCCCACGTGCCACGAGCCCCGCGGGACGCGCAGGGCGAGCGCAAGGACACGCAGGGCCAGCGCAGGGACACGCAGGGCCAGCGCAGGGACACGCAGGGCCAGCGCAGCGCCGCGGGGAGCCGCTCCGGCGCGCTCGGGCAGCCACTCACTGTAGGGGTGGGCC